GACTAACCGAACGGAGCGGATAGCGACGAAAGAAAGGAGGCCAAAATGGCGACGGCGGAAAAACTCGGTAATTCGAGGGAACGGGGTAGCGTGTTGCTCAGTTTTCCAAATAAATCCTAGCGAAGACGTGGCGCTGGAGGAGGTTCGCGGCCCGCGGCTGCAACGTTGTACCGCGCGCTCCCGAAGGTGCAACAATAATTATTTCTAATTTCCAGTTATGCAAAAATACGTAAAGCTTAAGTACCCCAGATAATAATATCCGTTTCTCCGTAGACACTCTCCGGGGTGCGGTGAATTTCGTTCCGCGGAACGGTCGGACGACCGCGAAGTATAGGCCACGGGGTAATTTGCGTGGGGAGGCTCTCGCGGCGCGCCGGCCAAGTCGGGAAAAATATGCGAGCCTCCTTTTCTTCGCGGACGGGGCGGAATTGCACCCGCGATTCAAGTTCCCGCGACGATGCCGCGATACTTATCGTAACCGAGCGGCGACGCCGATCAATAACACGGAAAACCGCCGGGGTTTGCTGGCGACAGTCACGATGCACTTGTTTCGACGTTTCAGAACATCGATCGGCAAGTTTCGAGCGCGAGAACAATGCTTCAACCGTTGCGCCGCGGTTATTTTAGGGGAATTCGAGTGCCACGGTCTGTTATCCTGATTAGAAAGTTATTAGTCGCTCGAACACTGTCCGCGGAATAACGACGCGATAAATCGTCTTTCGTTTTCAACCGCTTAACACGAAATTTCCTGTTCTTGCTTTTCCCGTTCGCTTGTCCGTTTCATCGTTACTAATTCATGAAGTAGAAACAGAGGTTCTCGTGAACTCGTACTACATATGTAGTGGTTACTATTATTATAGACAGTGAAAAGGTGGATCTTCAGTAATCGAGAATGAGGGATAAATATATGTATTTAATGAAATATGGAAACAACACGGACGTAAAAAATACAACTCAATGCCACAGAGGCCAACACATGACTCCAAAAAATTCCAGATACTACACATATTCCAAGGAACCAAGGATAGATTCCAAATTCTTTCCCACGTGCGCGAGAAACGAAAGAGATCGGTTGCACGGTTTTTAACGGACTCATTCCGATAATCCCGTCTGTAGCGATCGTAATTACCGGTAATCGCGAGCGAATCGGGAACCGGCCATTATCCGGACGCGTTAGGCGATAAAGCGTCAAGCCGGTGTGACGCGGCGTAATGGCGACGGTCGAAAAATCGCTGGGCGCGCCGTGTTTTTCGAGATAATACCGTGCATTACCGCGGCTCGGTAACTAACAGACCGGTCGAACGGTGGCCGTCCGACGGGTTGGCGGCTGGCGGGCGTATATGCGAGTGACAATTCTTGCGTGGACAATAAAGCAACCCCCCATCGGCGAGCGGCCCTCGGAACCGATGCTTGCCACTTGTCCGCGCGGCCACCCCATCGCGGACAAACCCTGCCGCGTTTCCGACCCGTAATCAGGTTCGGCCGGTGTATATCAAATTATACGCATGGGGTAATTTTTACTGTTTTTTACGGCCGACGGTAGCGCGGCGCGACAATAACAACGCCGAAATCCTTCTCCCGGCTGTCGCCCCCGTGTCGGATGTCAACGGGCGCGTCCCGGGGGCCGACTACAAAATCGCCATAGAACCGGCACTCCATTTCTACCGGACCGGCTAAACGCCCTTTATTGCGCGATCAACGCAACAACCCGTGCGACCCGTTCATATTTAACTCTGACAGACGAAACGCGAGCGGATCGTCGATTTTCACTGCGCTATTGCCCGCGACAGAGTTTTTGAACGCGATTTTGTTTTAATTTTCTGCTGCGACCGTCAGGTGAGTTCTGAACATTGCGAAATACGTTGTTGGATACCGATTCGATTTGGGAATTCTACGTGTTGCTGTTGTACCTCGGTTTTGTTTCGTGTGAGTATGTGGGATTGTTTAATTTTAGTATTCTGTGAATTTTGTATAACGAAGCAGATGCGTTCGAGAGTTACGAATGTTCTTGTTTAGCGGCGGTTCGAATCCACCGCTAGTTCCAACGTCGAAAGTGCACCGACTTTTGTATCTCGCGACGAAGACCTCGGAATGGTTTCTTTTCTTAATTAGCTGGCACAAAGATCGCGACAAAGTTGGCAACGAGGCTATTGATTTTACACGGGAGAAAGAGCGGGCGAATTCAATGAAGCTTCGCGGTCCGTTAAAGCGACACGGCTTATCGAGAATACATTACTATAAATTCGCGTGTAAACATAGCGAACCATGGACCGGGCAACGATACAGCAGCGGAACGGTGCCCGTAAAATTC